GGTCAGGGCACCCTCAGGGCACTATAGTGTCAGGAAAACCGCTTTGTTTTCCTGACACTATAGTGATCCTTTAAGAAATAATACATACACTTATGTCTATTCAAGCTCTTCCCTCAACTCGATCCTCCTTCTCTGAAATCACTTCCCCAAGCTGCCAATGGAGGGATGTAGGGGGGAGGAAGGGCATGGGGGAAGCATGCCACCAGAGGTCACCTGTCACTAGCATGCTGTGCATGTTAACGACAGGCATCCAATCTGCAAAATAAATTCATATTAGCCAGCCCAGACATGTTGTTCCGGACAGGCTGTCAATTCTATAATGATGCAGCTTGAAGTGGAGTTAAGTGTCATAGTTCTTAGAGTAAACGATTAACTTGCTTGTTAGCTTCCTTTATATTTCCTCACAAATACAAATACGTAGGGCTGCTCGTGTTATTGGCTTGTGTTCTTGCTTTCTCATGCAATAATAATAACAAGGTATTTAGGAGTTCTGTGGCTTTCAAAGGTTGGACAAAATAGGTATTGCTATTAAAGTTTGACTTTAGCATGTAAGCACAGACTAGAGAACCACTGGCATCCAAAAAACAAGATATATTGGTAAAAGCAAGGGGGAAAGAGAACAGAGGTAAGTGAAGCAGTGAAATAGGAAGAGTGAGAGCAGAGATGATTAAAGAAACACTCCTGGTACCATAGCCATTACAACTTAATGTAGTGGTTATGTTGCCGGGAGTGCCCTGGTGTCCCCCTGCTGCATGGAGTTAAACTATTTTTGAATGGTTTGCCATCTTACCTGATGTTCCCGCAGGTACCACTCTCAGCCTCTACTACCATCTCCCATAACACAGAAAAGGGCTAGCTGAGAGTGATGAGAAGACACATGCATGTCAATAATTCCACTTAAATAATAAAAATAGAGTAGAGCTATAAAAAAAACTTATTGCACATGAACAACATAAACATCAAGAAATTTTGCAATGTTAAAAAAACATCAAAGCTATTTATACAATCCCATGTACGGAGATCTAGCAAGGAAATATAGTGCCTTCTGCATCTACATGTTTTGCTCAGCTGACTGAACTTTCTCAAGATGGACACATGTCTGTCATGAGAAAGTTTAGTCAGGTGAATGAGATGCGTAGATGTTTGTCTTGAGAAAGCAAATGTGAATTTGTGTGAGGGAGATAAGCAACAATATGTTGCCGATATTAACAAAATATCATAAACGTTATTGAGATAATCCCATGTACAGAGATCCAGCAAGAATATGTAACGACTTCATCATCTCTATATGTTTCATTCAGCTGACTGAACTTTCTCAAGAGCGACAGCTACGCATTTCATTCAGCTGACTGAAGTTGTCAGCTAAACGAAACGCATAAGCGCAAAAGCACTATATTTCCCAGCTGGATCTTTGTACATGGGATTATCTCCATAACTTTTATGATACTTTTTTAACCTTGGTAAGATCATGCGGCTTATCTCCTTTATACGTTGTCTATACCACTATGGCTGCTTCCCACGAAGTACGTGTCCAGAAAATCTTTTGACGCTTTTCAGGGGACTTCTACTAGATACCTAGGAACTATATATTTGGATCTGGAATGACAGTATGCCATGTCCTTACTCTGGTGATTATTGGCCGTTCAGATTATCTGCTCAGTTTGTTCTGTGGACAATTCCATTTGTATTCAGAATTCTATTTCATAACTTTTGAGAAATCCCCTGTTATACGTACATTATAAGTGTGACCAAAAGGAATATTGGATTTAATATATATCTTTTGTATATGTTGTTTATAATAATAAACTATTTATAGCTCTACTTTATTTTTACCATTTATGTGAGAATAGTTACCAGTATCTTATGTTTTAGCTGTTGTATTTTTTTTATGTAAACAGCTTCTTATATCATTTTAATTTGTATCTATGAGAAGAGTAGGAAATTTAGGAAGAGGATGGGAGCATTGTTTGCAAACCCCAACAGATTTATTCTCTCTCTCTCTCTCTCTTTCTCTCTCTCTCTCTAAGACTGAAAAAGCAGTTGTTTTTTGGGGGTCCACAAAGAACAGCATGGCACATTCTACATTTTTTTTCATAGTTATGTATTGTTTGTAATATATATATATATATACATATATATATATATTTGAATTGCATCTATTGTGCATTTGTTACCTTACTGAGGTATCAACTTGGCGATTGAGATGCATAATGTGTTTTCTTCTTTTGAATTATAGTAAATTGTATTTGGTTTTGCTGTATTATATTTGTGACTTTATATGATCTGAAAGTTATATATGTATATATTAAGTTATGTTTTTCAAAACTGTCCTGTGTTTTTGACTTATTATTACTTTAGCTCAATATTTATTTTTAATATACTTTGTAGTGACTGGTTTCGTGCCCTCCTGGAGGTATTTCTTGAAATTGCTTTAGAAAATGTTTTTTGGGGCTGAGAATGGCATATTTGTTTGTTTACAGTACTTCTTTTAAGATTGCCCTTTTTGACTTTTAATTTTAGTTACCCTTTGTTGTTCTTTTAAATTAACATGAAATATGTGCAAGAACAAAACAGCCAGTATTTAAAACAAAAATCATGACAGATTGATAAAACTTTAAACAACAGCCCTTAATAATTGCAGATTTGTTTTAGAAAAACAATGTTACTGTACACATTCAGTCCCTTAAGGCAAGCATAAACAAAACATAGAATTTTGATATGTGCTTGTTCAACTGTAATTTTCCACTTTTGTATCAAGTATTATATATCATTTTTAAAAGGACATGTAGGGCTTTTTATATACACAATATGTAAATAACAAATCATTTCATATGATTTAATTATACAGAAATGGGAACAAAATAAAAACAAAATATCATCTAAGTGTGCAATCAGCTCAGCTAAAGAAAATTAACATACTTGTTTATATGTGTAACATTTTCAAAATATAATATTACACTCTACATTCAAAGTAAAGGCTTGGGATCCAGATCTGTCCTATTACATCATCCGTCCTATTCCCCTGGCATCAGAGACCACCATCGTGATTATTTAGGGTAAGATCTTGCCATTGACCCACCAGATAGACAGATATTGCCTCTTCTGATAACTCTGGGTCTGTTCATGACACCCAAACTGTGTTACATTTGTAGTGACATAGCCGGAATGATATATCAAATATAATAACAAGTAACATGATGAGTAAATCAGGTACACACAAAAATCAGAACTAAAATCAGAAACCATGGGGTTGCAACCAGCATAATATTCAAATATATGGAAATATAGGTTGCCTAAATTATATTTCGGTACTGCCACTGCCTAATGACAATTCTGTGCAAATAAGATGAATTGAGTTTTTTCCCTCCTTTCTTTTCCATTTAAGCCCTCACTGTCCCACCTCCGTATACCCTTAACATTCCTTTTTTTTTTTTTTAAATATCCCTCCTTTCAGTAGCGAACTACCACAGTCGCAGAGGTTACAGCTTCGACCAGACCTGTTACTTCAGGGTCCTGCAACTATGGGCACTCCAGTATCACTTCAGGGCGGGGAGCATGAGACACTTTGAGGAGCTGGGGGGCATGAGACACCAGAAGGGACTCCGGGGGTATGAGACACCTTGAGGGTCTGTGGGGACATAAGACACCTTAAAGGACTCAGACAGATGAGTCACCTTGAGGGTCGGGGGGGGGATGAGATACCTTGATGGTCTGGGGGAATGAGACAACTTGAGGGGCTGGGGTGATGAGATACCTTGAGGGGCTGGGGTATGAGATACCTTGAGAGGCAAGGGGATGCGACATCTTGATGGTTTGGGGGATGAGGCATCTTGAGGGATTAGGGGGGATGAGACACCTTGAGGGGCAGGGTGGGGGAATGAGACACCTTGAAGGGTTGGGGAGAGAATGAGACACATGGAGGAGGTGGGGGGGAATAAGACACGTTGAAGGTCTGGGGGAATGAGACACCTTGAGGGTCTGGGAGGAGATGAGACACCTTTAGGGGCTGGGGGTTGACATAACTTGAGAGGCTGGGGAGGTGAGACACTTTAAGGAGCTGGGGGGTGAGACACCTTAAGGGGCTGAGGGTATGAGACACATGGAGGGGTTGGGGGAGAATGAGACACATGGAGGAGCTGGGGGGGGGTGGGAGAATTTTCGCACCGGGGCTCAGTGGTTTCTAGTTATGCCTCTGCCTCCCTTCCCTTACTGTGCATGTGCATGCTCTCTAAACTTGTAAAGCGGTCCAATGAAAGAGAATAGCAGAGCCATCGGACAGAGGCTTTGATTCCAGTGAGAGGAGGTTTGCCCAGGTGTGGATTTGAAGTGAGAATTACAGCTTACTTAATAGATATTTTAACAACAATGGGCTTGAACATAATAGGACCCTATAAACTACAATAAAAAAGGGAACAATGTTTACAGTAACCTTATAAGGATACCAAATTAGGCAGCTATCTCTAACAACTGAAAGAGCAAAATCAGGAAAAGCTTGAGAACATGTAATTTGATTTGTCTGAATAATAAAAATTTTAAAAACGTTAACCAAATGTATTAGACAAACTTTGGAAAGACCAAATCATTCAATTGACAAAATCCAGTTTGTCCAAAACAAAATAATTTTTAGGGTGATGCAAATTTTATCGCCATGCGAAAGTCTGTTAGTAACCACCCCTTACCAACAGCAGCAACATATGTTGGGAATGCTTCTCGCAACTAACTATTTCCTCTTTCTTTGCTGCTCCGCAGTCAGTACAGGTCAGAGTATCACTGCCTCCTGTTATATATGGGTGGTTGTGGATATTTTACTGTATTTATATGTTTATTACTGTATTGATTTATTTGTTTAGAGGGTATTTTCTACACCTACCTGCTTAGTGCTGTAGTGATTGCTTGATTGATTGATTTATTTACTCTGTTTTTCTGCATCTACATTCTTATGGCTGCAGGGATTTATTTGTTTAGAATGTGTTTACCTTCCTACTGCCATTATGATTTATTTATTTAGATTGTATTTTTCTGTCCCTACTTTTTTGCTGTAGGGATGTATTTTCTCTTATGACTTTTCTGCATTTTTCTGTTTTGGGCCCCCCTGTCTGGGGATAATTTTTTTCTCGGGTTTGGGGGGGTTTTCTTTTTTCCCTCCTTCCCTCTACCTTTGCCCCCTTCACTTTTCGTCCATTTTGCATCCGCCGGAAAGCGGTAAGACTCTGGCGGTCCCACGTGTTGGATCCCGCCTGCCGGCTCCGTCCGCCGAGCAAGATCCTCTGCTTCCACCCCCCAACCGACCCACACTTCCACTTGCGGTATAGCTGCTCCCGCAGCATGGGTGGAGGGTTGGTTACCTTCCCATGCAGTGCAGCGGCCCCAAGCATCCACTTACCTGCGACGCGTGGTCGAGTGGGGGCTGGGCCAGCCAGTTACCAGACTTACCGCATTAGTTCTGTCAATGGCAGGCACATGTGCTGTAGCTTTGACTGGGACTCAGCTATGACTTGGGCGCATTGCACCCTCAGGCTGTCCTGTGGCTGGCAGGTTAGGCTACTGGGAACCATAGTGGATGATATAGATCACAGGCATGCTATATAGAGCTGTGCACAACCCCTCAAGGGTTACAGGCACAACTGGCAGTGTTACCACTTATACTCATCCCCCCCCTTTTTGTTTGTTCAGATGATTTTATATCATATTGACCAATGGGGCACCTCTTGTGAGGTAACTCAGTTGGTGAGTTCCCTGACTACAGGTGTACTCAATATGCAAGTTCACTATTTATGGAGTGTCAGGCACTATTTAACTAAAGTGCGTTATCTACAGTTACACAATGGAATGCTAGGTACAGTCACACAGAGGAATGCTATCTACAGTTACACAGTAGAAGGCTATGTACAGTTACACAGTAATATACTATGTACAGTTACACAGTAATATACTATGTACAGTTACACAGAAGAATGCTATGTACAGTTACACAGGAGAACGCTATGTACATTTACACAATCATTTATTATGTACAGTTACACAGAAGAGTGCTATTTACACAGAAGGATGTTATGTACGGCTGCACAGAAGAGTGTTAAGTACAGTTACACAGAAGAAGGTTACGTACAGTTACACAGAAGAGTGTTAATTACAGTTACACAGAAGTGTGTTATGTGCTATTAATCTGAAGAAGTGTTATGTACATCTTATCTGAAGAGCGAAAGGTACATTTTGTCGGAAGAATGGAATGCGCAGTTCCTCACCTGTACATCTCTGAAGGTTCTGACTTGTCTGTGCCCCAGGACTTGGCCGGCTTTGTCCGTGCCTTACTGATTGGCCTGCTTTGTCTGTGCCCCATTGATTGGCCTGCTTTGTCTGTGCTCCATTGATCTGGCCTGTGCTGTCTGTGCCAGAATGTCTGCATGCCAAGCCTACTGCCACATACTCACGCTTGTGCATTGCATGCGCTGCCCAACTTGCCTCGGTCACTATATGGGGTGCTGCCCCTATCTTCCTGCCAGTGACACTTGTCCTCTATACTCCTTGAGGTCACTTTGCCTGGAACCGCTGCACAGGAGAACCCTTATCCGGGTTAACAGCGCAGACAATGACTACTATGGCAGTGACCGCCTCTGTGGAATTAGGCTTCAGCCAGGGTCCTCCCTTAAGCTTATCTGGAGCGTAACACTAGAGCGCCCACCTTTAAAATGGCAGGCAACTTGAATGAGTCAGACTCTCCTAGAGGAGAGCAGGCAAGGGCACATGAGTGCTACTGGAAGGGTGAAGGACCTGAACCAGTGATTTGAATGAGACAGACTCTCCTTGAGGAGAGCAGGCAAGTGCGCATGAGCGCTACTGGAAGGGGGTGCAATCGTCCAGACGGCCTGCCTATATGGCGCGGGGGAGGCGATGACCACCGGACGTGGCAGTGACCACCTTCTTAAAAAGGCAGACGATTTGAAGGAGTCCAACTCTCGGAGTGGAGAGCAGGCAGGGGCGCATAAGCACTACGGGTAGGGTGAAGGCCCGGAACCAGACGCCCAGAAAGATTGGACTCCGGAGAAGTGTTTAGCCCTGATATGATTGGCCTTGACGGCCAGACGACACTGCCTATGTGACGCAGGGGTAAAGGTCCCCATAATTCTCCCCCCCATGGCTGCCCTAGCGGAATGGCAGGCGGACCGGTTCCCCTCGGAGGGAGAGGACAAGGGGGTGTGGCACCATGAGATGTAGAACAAAGTCCACTACAGGGGCCCCAACGACCGTGGAAGAAGAGGTCATCTCGTGGATCGCCTTAAACGAACCACTATTCGACCCTCGATCCCTTGCTCACCTGGTTTCTTTGGAATGGTCTCTGCCCGATCACCTAGCACCATCGGTGTGTTTCTGGGCCCGTAGACCGCTGGCTTGAGAGGCCCGCAGAATAATTCGAGCGGTATTCCCAGCCGGGCTCCCGAACAAAGTAGCCGCAAACCCAGACTTAGACCCTGATGGGGCACTGCGATTTTGCTGGTTAAGCACCTGTCTAGTATTCAGGAGATCCTGAGTGCGGCCCACTGCAGTGCCTATACTATTAAGTCCGCACTGGCAAGCCGATTGTTCTCTGCTACACGGGTGAGTTGTGCTAGCGGAACATATGAGGAAGTATAAGATGTGTCCTTTTTTACATGGAAATACTTGACGGAGGCTTATCTCAGCTCAACCTGTACCTTTTATAGGGGATTGGACCCTTGACCCAGATTTTCACACTTGCCTCCACTTTCGGATGACATCCCAGACGGGACCCCGAGTCTGGGGTGGCAGACGACCCTATCCTAAACGCAATTTGGACCGCTGGAGGTGCTTGGGATAAAGGGATCTGAGCCCCTCGGAGTCCCTGCACGAGTCTACGATTGAACGTATATTCATTAGTTACTTTGAATTAGACATGGCCCTCAAGAAACTGCTAGGGACCGCGGGGCCCAGTTCTGGTAAGGTGGCCTCTATTTTCTCCCTGGTGAGATAGGTATCTTGTGCATCAGTCATTTGGGTGACAATACAATCTGGTTGGCAGGTTGGGAGGAATTGAGGACATTCAGGAATACCAGAACTATCTGAAGAGATCTTTCTCGTTTTCCCGAGCGTTGGGACCCGGACGCGACTCTTCATCGATATGGGACATCTTGCTGTACGGTCTACCTGGACGGGCTTGACGGACCCCCTGCAAGGTACCTCCTAGACCGAAAGGTCAGATGCTCCCTGTGTTGTTCGAGTCCCTGGATTTAGTTTTCAACCAGGGAAATATCGACCTCCTCTACATCTCAAGGAGTGGAGTCCTGGAGGGCAGATTGGACGCAATGGAGTGCCTCCTATGCTCTCCTCTGCCCGAGTTCTCGTACGTATGGAATAGTTTTCTCTGGGAGGACCTGGCGTCAAGACTTTAGTCCACGGAGGAGGACCCATCAGGCCCGTTTGCTCAGCGATGGACTCTTCCCTGCAGGAGTGTTCAACACGGAGATGCGGACCAGTCTCCTCCGTTTGTTTGGTCTCAGGACCTTTCTACAGGTGCCTCGGTCTGCTGGTACTTTGGAATTATGATCTCCGCTTCAGCAGAGTTCGGGTATTGTTCGGTTACTTTGTTACCATGGACTGCCATATTAATTAGATAAGGTAGCGCGTACGACTGTTGTCGACTGTTCATCTCCTCAGGGGGTACACGCATTTTTGTCATGCTCTTATGGTGGGTTCTCTTGGGTTTTGCCCATTCACTGATTCTGGATTTATTTCCGTTATTATACCTTGTTTTTCTTTCAGATCGGTTCAGCGGTTCGGACCTTAGTTGTCTATCAGCCTTAGTCGGATCCGAGGGTCATATTCTTACTTTGGTAGCGCTCCCACCTTTAGGCGGTGTTCGACGTCACCGTTTATTTAAATGGTTCTTACCTTTTTCTCGCCCTTCATGTACCGCTTGGTTGTGGTTGGCATTGGCAGGGCCTATAGGTTTTTTCGGTTCACTTCAGTCCATAACACTGCGACTTCAGGTACCGACATGGCAGGCGTTTTTCTCCAAGACATCGTACATTTCCTGCCGGTTACGAGGAACTATCTACGAAGAGTTTAGGTTGGTACGGCGGATCGTGTTTCTTTGGTCTTTGCTGTCCGAGCGTTAAAACAGCAAATATGAAGCCTCCTGTCATGTTATAAAATTGTAGATTATACTATCTTTAGTGTAACTATAATCTTAATTTTATTAATGACAGGAGGCGAATATTTCCCTCCCAGTTTCTCCCTCCCCTTGTTGTTTGTTGGTTTGACTGACTTGTTGTTTATTCACCTGGTCTCCTGGGCTAGGTTGGTTATCTAGGGGAGTTGGGGTTTATCTGGGATATGGTACCGTAAGTATTTTATGATGGGGATTCAGGTTTTTTCACTATCTGGGATATTATACTGTCAGTATTTATGATGGGAATTCATGTTTTTTCAGTACATTTCATTCGCTAATCAGTGTTTTCGACTCTGTTTATCTCGTTTCAGTTTAATGGTTTGGCTACAGTTCTTAGATCCGATTACTCTACAGGATAAAGGTCAAGGCTTCACCCACTGGTTCCACAGTTTCAATTTCAGATGGCATTCATCGTTATGTTATGTTTGTTTCTCCTGTTATTGTATTTGTGGTGTATTGTTTATGTACTTTATTTGTCGCAGCGTGAAAGAGGAAATAGTTAGTTGGGAGAAGCCTTTTATAGATTCCTGATTTTTTTTGTCTCTGGTGTTTTTATCTCTATGTTAATGTGCTGCTGTGCAGTTCTAGTAAAGAGAGACCGCAAATATTCGCATCCTGTCATTAATAAAATTAAGATTATAGTTACACTAAAGCTAGTATAATCTACAATTATATCAGGGTACGAAATTGTGCCTGTTGATGATAATGTTAGGTGAGTTAATACAGTCTGAAAGGAATGTTGCAGCTCCAATGAGGGATTGGGATAATATAGCAGAATGGGCAGTCTAAACAGAAGATTAGAGATTAGATTCTGGAAGTCTATTGTGGGTCAGGTCAGTCTGATATGCCAGCTCCTTCAATAATAGTGTTAGTGAGTAAAGATATTTTACCTGAGCAACACTAATCAAATACATCTACTGACTTTTTGGCTGCTCATTTCATTCTCAATTTTTATTTATATCTTAATCCAGACGTATGGAAAGGAATACGTTTTGTGACATAAGAGTGTCTATTGTTAAATAATACATTTCTTTTCTACTATGCTTATACTTTCATTAGAAAGTTCACACAATTTGTTCAAATACTTTTTTTAATTAAATAAGGAATTTAAAAATCTAGTATTAAAAATGTATCTCATCTGCAAATATCTATTTGTAATGCATGGGAAATAATTAAGTGGTATACTCAGTAAACAGTGACTGGTGGCAGGTAAGAAATAAATGGCAAAATTAAAAAAAAGAAAAGGGCAATGTCGAAACTGTAAAACCTTAAATTGAGTTGTGTAGAAAATATTAACATTTTTTTCAATAAAATTTTGGAAATGTGCTCTCAAGTCTTCTCAACTTGCTGTCTACTTATTCCAACCAAAATATATTTTTTTATTAAATGACTGTATCTTGTTTTATAGATCAAGTATTTGGTTGTCATTTGGAGACCCTCTGCAAACGTGAAAATACAACAGTGCCAAATTTTGTTAAATTGTGTATTGAAGCTGTTGAAAAAAGGGGTGAGTACCTTTTAATGAGATGTCTTCCTGTTCTATGACACATCTAGCTGTTTTCAAAGCAGAAACATATGTGTGAAAATAATGAAGATTTACAAATTATGGAAACAACTTTGAAAATACACACATATATATATATATTCATCATTAGCTGTTTTTAAAACTCTAAGTAAATGGGGTGATGTTGAGAAAGAGATACTCTGTCAGCATATTAATAATAACTAATGATAATTATTCTTAATAAACAAGATTACATATCACTGTGAAAGAACTATAAGGGAGAGCATGTATTTAGTGCAGAGCAAACATTTTTTTAAAGAGTACAAAATGTTGTTTAATGTTAATGAAGCATACAAATACAAAAATTACTTTCTTATAAAATTACATAAAATGGAAATTTGTAATTAGAATCTATCGTGTGGATTTTTAATAAGTAAATAAAAGTGCATGTGTGTATATAAAAAAGGTAATAGACAGACAGATTTTATTGAATACGCACATTACATTTGCATAGGTATCTAATGGACTTGGCAAGAAAATTCTGCTAATTCGGCCCAACCATTTTATCTGAAAAAAAAAATTATTTTGTGAGACATGAATGAAGTAAAACAAAAACTATATTTGGCGGATGTGCTATGCCGTCCTGAAAAATGTGGGCTTTAACACTGGAAGATGGCATATCATGTCCATGTGATCACTGCCCACAATGATCCTGGTCGGGGGGACTGCCTGAGAACCCAAGCAGTGCTCCAGAAGCAGATTTAGCCCTTCCGTACCATGTGACATCACAATCACATGGCTGGATCAGCTGTCCACAGCTCTGCCAGCAGGGGGGTGGCCTGGGTTGTCAGTCAGTCCCCCATTGCTGGAAAACATTTTTGAAAAGAACAATGAAACATATATTTTCTACATATTATTTAATATTATTTCATATTTTACAGGTGAAAAAAAGAAGCAAAAAAACAAACAATATATATATATATATATATATATATATATATATTTGTGTTCAGAGCCATTTCAGTATAGTATGAAATAGCTTGTGAGTATTCTTATCACTATAATAAAAAAGTCGGTAGAGGTGCGCCGAAACTGACGTGTGTGGTAGGCCTGTCAATAAGCGGGCCTACCTTGAATAGTACTGAATAGAGTGAGAGGAGGGTGGGCCAAAAGTACATCTGGAAGAGTAGGTAAGTTAGGTGGGAGGGGGAGTCCTTTTTAAAGGGACATAGCCCCTCCCACAACTTCAGGCCCCATCTTCCAATTTGTGTTCGGGGCCATTTCAGTATAGTATGAAATAGCTAGTATACTTATCACAATAATAAAGTCGGTAGAGGTGTGCCAAAAACGACGTGTGTGGTAGGCCTGTAAATAAGTGGGCAAAAAAGAATACACATATAGTGTAATCCAAGATGTTTATTACGAAAACACAAGACATGTCTTGGTTGCGTACACTTTAGTCACCTACCAGTACCTTGATGAAGTAAGAATTGTACTGGTACGTCCCCATACTGTAGAATCCAATGAGCCAAGTCAGTCTATGCTTGGCGTGTGGAGACTGTAACCCATGTGAGAATAGGTTATGGTAGTATAGTAAATGTCTGCTTGGTACCGTTGTACCCGGTGTACCCTTATGTATTTGTGGAATGAGTGCCGTATGTATCTGAGTAATGACACGTATGATTTGTAACGTGTCTTGCCCTTACCAATGGAAGGAGACCCAATACGCTTGACTTTGTCTAGGTCTCTGAATCCTTCAAGCAGATCCTGAGATCAAATGACAAATACAGGGTTTAATATATACCGTTGTATGTCTACCATGTAAGACTTTAGAACTAGTGCTTGATACCCGATGCACATACCTGTCATTTAAGCAAAATTCTGTGCTATAAATGACATTTCAATATGCAGGGGTATGAAGTTACTGTAGGCGAAGTGCAGCATGGCCATCAGGTGGCGTAGTGCTGTGCACCATCCTGAACTTTATATAATATATGTGCATATATATATATATATATATATATATATATATATATGTATGTATGTATGACATACCTGTAAAATACCTATATACCTTATATGAAACCAACCACTTATGATTATTCTTATTTTATAACCAGCCATATATTATTATTATTATTTTATAATCAGCCTCATATTTGTAATTTCTATTTATGAACCAGTCACATGTTATTATTCTTATTTATAACCAGCCACATATTAATTATTCTTATTATTACCAGCCACATAATTTATTCCACTTTGAATGCCTGAGCGTGATGTGAGTTTGATTGACGTTTGAGTGTACAGCGTGCTTTACGGTTGCAGTGCTGTACTTGATCGTGCTTGCCGGCCGACAGCAGACTTGCGCCTGTGGACGGAGCTGCCGCCCCTGAGAGAGAGTGCACTATGGACGGGTGAATAACCCCTTATGTGCCCCGGTTGTTGGGGGGGAGGTAGGAGGGTTGAGGGGGGTTAAGAGCCTGTTGGGTCGATTGTGAAATGCC